ACCACTGGCTTGGCCTACGAGGCACCAGGAGCACAACTCAAATGTCCACTAGCACCAGAAGGGCTTTAAATTACGGAATATTCAGTGACATGCCATCAGCTACTTACAGAGCCAAGAACTTGAATGAATCTCACAGGTGTAATATTGGTTGAAAGAAAAAACACACAAATGAGTAGAGCTTCTCATTGAAACAACACACAATTAGTATGAGCATCTAATTTGGAAAATAAGTCAGAACAGAGATTTTTGTTTTTAATTTTTTTTTTTTGAGAGAGAGAATGTGGCGAGGGGTAGCATTGACCTTGGAAAACGACCAGGAGATCTTTGGGGCCAACTGAACTTGGTCTATAGTGATAGGAATGTGTTTCTCTCTCAAAATTTGTAGTTGAGATTCAGTCTTCCTGATCCTCTTACAACGGGACCCGTGAAAAGAACTGTAAAAATAATAACAACGAAGTGGCGAATAGGTGAAGATAAAGATGAAACTGGTAAACTATTGATCATCCTTGACGCTGAATGATGGATCGCATAATGGGGTAGGTATCCTGCGTCCCATGTACGCAACTGCACATACCCAGAACTTTAAAAATAATCCCACGTGCGTGTTTTAAAAAGGAACGGAATGCACACAAATATAACTCCATTCTGCATCGGAGTCTGATCTTAGTTTCGACACGTTCCACCTGCGTTTTTGGGGGGTGAAGGAAAGTGAGCGTGCGGTGATGTGGGGGGCGTTTGGGCTGGAGACCCAAACCAGGAGAGCCCCCTTCCTGCACACTTTTGCGACCGCCCCAGAATGAAACCTTCTAAAGTGAAAGCGTGTTCACGGATATAGGTATTTCTCCTCCCACTGGGCTTTGGTTTTGCGCGGCAACTCGAACTCCGTGCTCCAGCCGCGGAGCTAAAATAGAGAAAGTAAGAGAAATCCCGAGAAAGGACGGACACGTCGTTCCAAGTGACGTCGCCCCCCGAGTCCGTTCTCCCAGCACCGCTCCCGGCGGTGTGAGCTCCATCCCGGATCCGTCGGGATCTACTCCCCTTTCCCGATCCCGCATTCTCCAGCGCGTCGGGGGGTTCGCAGGATTGCCGGGAAAGTCAAGGCCGAACCCCCTGCACCTCACCTGAAGCCGAGGGGCGCCCTGCACCACCGTCTCTCTTGATGCAACTTTTCCTGCCCCGACGTCACTTCTCAGACTTCCTTCAGAGAGAAATAGATCGTGCAGATACAACTCCCTCCATTGCTTCCTTCCATTGCTTTCTGTGAATGAAGAACCTCTTTGATTTAAAACTGTAGGTCTGCAGCTGTAGAAAACAAATTATTTCCCAATGCCTTTTCAGCGTGTCTGATTTGGGGGTGTAAACTCTAAATAATAATGGTGCATCTTTTGTCAAAACAATGAATCTAGTCAAAGTAGATAGAGTGTTAGAATTCTTCTGCCACACATGCATGGGGGGGGGGTTATTGGGGTTCTTCATGATGAAAAATAAGTATTGGTAAAGGGAAATGTGTTTGATATTTGCATGACCGAGACTTAAACCTGAAAACTTTGTAACTTTTCCCACAGTAATTCAATAAATAAATAAATAAATAAAAAAAAAAATAAAAAAACTGTAGGTCTGTCTGATGATCTCCCCCATCATTAGATTTGACAGTTAAAAAATTGTCTTGGATTATTGTGGGATGGGGGGATGGGGGGTGGGAGGGATGCTGGGACCCGTGGTGGTGGAGGATGGGCGCTGGTGGAGGGATGGGTACTTGATCATTGTATAACTGAAACCCAAGCACAAAAATTTGTAAGTCTACAACTGTGCCTCATGATGTTTCACTAATTAAAAAAAATTGTCTTGGATTATGAAGGTCACTCAGGACTGATTCCTTGTTAACGCTGCAACCAAGACTTGATTGTGTGCGGTGGGGTAGCAACAGGAAAAGGGCCCTTCAGTCATTGGAAACTCAACGTCCTTTTCCAGTGTCTGCAGGGGCAGAGGGAGGGTAAAGGGGGGAACAGGCAGGGGACGGCGCAAACTCGGGGGAAAAGGTCATTTTGGCTAAGCCACATCGTAACTCGCAAAGACATTCAAGTAGCAAAAGAAACGAGCCAGCCAGGAGTCGAACCTAGAATCTTCTGATCCGTAGTCAGACGCGTTATCCATTGCGCCACTGGCCCAACGGAACAATGCTTGTTAGTTTTGGGCTTTTATGATGAGGCTTTAATTAGCAGTACAAAGAGAAGTCTTAAGTCTTGAAAAACAACAAAAAGATTGCTGTTTTATGTACGAAAATAGAAACCAGAGCCACAAAACTGGCTTTTTGTAATTGGTTTACTTGGTACGCCTTTGCTTTCAATATTCGCTCCTAAAGTAGTAAAGTCTGAGGCCAGGAATGTATAGCTCAGTAGTAGAGCACATATGTAGGTCGGCCTGAGTTCCGTTCCCATCACCTGCTAATAAATAAAACAGGATGAAAAAGAAAGATTCCATAAAAGAAAACTAATAACATACATACAGAAGCAATGTCTGTGGTAGAAGGACGTTACTGGTTTCAAGCTTATTTAAAAAAAAAAATCTCCATGTATCTTTTGGGAGAACTTGTGAACTAACCTCTCTAGCTTTTGCAGTTTAATAATCCGCATTGTTTCTACCTTGATTATATTTTTATATACTTAAGTTGGGCGGTGATGATGTATGCATGAATCAGTAATGAGTATCTGTGTTATTTAAATGTCATAAAATATATCATTTCATTTGGAAATATTTTTGATTGTAAGAATCATATCTTTTTCCTCTTACTGTTAACAGAGCGAAAACTCAGGGTGAAGGAGAGCGTCAAGAATCATGGCAAAACCGTGTGTTAAATTATGCAGCAGATAAAAGCATGCAAAAAATTAGTAAAACCCAGGAAGGGCAAAATGAGGCAGTAGCTAGGTAAAGGTGCCGATATTTTAAACACATTTGACATAGAATCTTGGAATCTAAGAACAGATTTCTTAACTAAATATATAAAACATGCTGTCGTTAGACAACTTCGTCCTTATTTATTTTCTTTTCCCAAGTCGGCAAAATAGACACCCTAGGAAGTAAAAGAATAATGCAAAAGAAGGATCTTTGAGGTGGAGAGAGGGAGTTGATCTTAATTGCACTAACGTGCATGAGGTCCCGGCTCGGACTCCTAGCGCTCTCTCCTGCCGATTCTCCCTCGGTAACCTTGAACTGAGCTGGATCAGAATCACTGGAAATAAATATTAGGGGAGCAGCAGTGAATCCGGATGCCCCATTCCGTGGACGTTTCTGTACCCAGCTTTTGACGTTGGCCAGTGCACTCTCGAAGCCGTCCTCACGCCTCCAGCACCCACTGGAGCCCCCTGCAACACCCGGGAACCCCGGATCAGCAAATGGGGGTGGAGCAGTTCCCGCCGCCTGGGATCCCTCGAAATTCAATGTGGGTCGGTTCTGAGTGCGTGGTGGAGATCTGGAAGTCGATGGACAGCATGTCCTGGCCCCGGGAGGGATGTGGGGGGCTTGGAACACAGACGGTGGGAAGCGGGAGAAACAAAAGGTGATTGAGCCACGGTCTTCGCCAACACCGTGTAGCTCGGAGGGTCAGGACGCTTGGGTTAGTCACCCCTTCTCTGCACCCCCAGTTCCATTCCATTCCACCTTCTCCACGCACAAATCCTGCCCCGAAGGGTCTGCTCTGGCAAGGAACAAACTCCGTCAGCTTGGGTTTCTTAACATTTTTTGCCAGAGTCACGCTGTTTCATTTGCTTGTTGGGCTCTCTGGATCGATGGCATATTTTTGCCTATTTATTTATTCACAATTGTAGTATGCCCTATAAAGAAAATTTAGAAATTTCATAACTAGTGTGCTGTATTGAGGAAAATTTAGAAAAACACATTTTCAGTCTTCGAGATAAGCACAGATGTCAGAGACAGGACACGAGCACTGAGCATCAGAGTAAAATTAACGCTGTTCTGGATATTCTTGATTTCAGATGACAAAAAGAATACCCAGAGTCCAAGAGTAACTGATTGGGTCACGTTGAGATCTGCCAACTTTGAATTTTCTGCCCCCGAAAGCTCCTACAAACCAGGAATCAACACGAAATGAAGTTGTAGGTCAAGGAGACACTATTGTGTAGAGACTTGGGGACAGTCCTAGAGCTAGCAAAAGAGATGTTTCCGCCCGGTTTCGAACCGGGGACCTTTCGCGTGTGAGGCGAACGTGATAACCACTACACTACGGAAACTCCTGTTTGGCTACTTTCTTCAAGGTATCGGATCTAATGCTAATTTCTACAGCTCTATATCTGATTCATATTTTCTTCTACTGTCTTTTCATTCACATGCGTTTCTTTCCCACCTAGATACAGTAAAAGCAGTGTCTGAGTTCCAGAGAGATCCGTAGCTAGGTGACCAGCTCTAGTCCTAGAGCTAGCAAAAGGGATGTTTCCGCCCGGTTTCGAACCGGGGACCTTTCGCGTGTGAGGCGAACGTGATAACCACTACACTACGGAAACTGCTGTTTAGCTGCTTTCTTCAAGGTATCGGATCTAATGCTAATTTCTACAGTTCTATATCTGATTCATTTTTTCTTCTACTGTCTTTTCATTCACATGCGTTTCTTTCCCACCTAGATACAGTAAAAGCAGAGTGTCTGAGGTCCAGAGAGATCCGTAGCTAGATGACCAGCCCAGGGACCGAGCAGAATCTCAGCTGAACCTGATCAGTAAGAGGAAGGCATGACATCGACAAAAAAGAATCACATTTATTTGATATTCAGAATGCCAATATTCACAAAGAGAATTATCATCATCCATTTACATTTACATGATCCTTGGAAACAAAACGCTTTTGGTTGGTCAAGATGCTTGCAGTCAGCTGGAAGTGAACAGGCGCTGCGAGCAGATTCCTGAAAATTGCCTTGTTCAAAAACAAGCCGCAGCCCTACCAGCCAGTGGAGTGAACAGATCCAGGACTGAGATGGACTCGCAAGGATGGGCTCAGACCCCATCCTCCACCTGGCTTGGCTTTGCCAGTCGGAGCCAGGTCTGCAGCTGCTGGACGATGGTCTGTGGAGGGGCGGAGAATTGAAATCAGGCAGCGAGTGATTAGGGGTGTGGCATGCAAATGAGGATGCAAATCACCCAGCGCTCGTCCTGCCTCACCTGGCGCCCCAGACGGAGGCTGGGGGAATCTGAGGATCTCTCAGGTGCCATGTCCAAGCAGTGGGAGCCATTAGGGATGAGAAGGGCTGACTCCGTGGCTCCTAAGTTCTGGGTTACACTTAGCACGTGCCAGGGGTCTGTGTCTCCTGGGAAGAAAGGAGGGACCCACCTGTGAGCAGGCGCAGTGCAGGCTTGAGTCGGTGCTGGTGTCGCCGTACTCACCGTTCACAAACAGCACCCGGCTGGCTCCGGGCGTCTGGCCACCGTAGAAGGCGTTAGTCCGGGCCACGGCCAGGGCTACGGAGGACAGGAAGAGCCCGAACACCTGCTCACAGAGCTCCAGGTGGGAGGGCAGTGCTGGGAGCTGGGAGAAGGGGCATCGCGGGCCCTCACAGGTGACATCTGCGGAGACAGGTACCGCTAAGTGTAGGGTCATGACAAATGCACCATCTTCTCGGTTTGCTGGCACCTGAATCGACCCTTCTCATTGCCTGCACCAATCCTTCTCGGGAGTTACTGCTTCTGAGCACCTGAGCCTGGGTTCAGTAACACTTTCAAGGCTTGAGACGGGGCGCGTGTGACACACCGTGAAGAGCAGTTCTGTCCAGGATTAAGTGTGTATATGGGAGTCTTGTGACCGCCACTTAGGACGTCAGCTTCTTGGTCCCTATTCCAGCCACACTCTGGAAGCTCAGCAGTCGGGAGAGTGTCCAGGGAACTGAGATCGCGGTGGGCACCTGTGCAATGGCTGGTCCAGGCATTGCAAAGAACAACTGCTTTGGGGTGAGGGCTGCCCCAGTTACTCACAGAAGCCAAACTCGGTACAGGTCTGATACAGCCACTGCCGGTCACCCACGCCTGACACTTGGGGTTTTGTGTCTCTCAGCTGTGCCACGGTCTCTGCTCGGGAATAGCTTAAGCATCTCTGGCCCAGGCTGTTCGTAATAACCTAGAGGACAATACAGTTACATACAAACATCCTCCCTTCAAGTCACGACCTGGAGGCATACACAGCCATACACACAAGCCAACAGTCAGAGTTCTGAGGTCCTGAGCTCTCCTGGGTGGCATTTTTTTTTTTAGATAACTGTAACCGATACTCTCTTGGACCTCAGTTTCCTCAACTGTAAACGGGGCGAGTCAGAGTGCCTCTCTCCTAGTTACTGTGAGTGCAATGAAGTCACATATGGCCCAGACAGCGCTGGACTGAAGGATTGCAACTGTGGATTTCGAAGCTGAGGGTTTCGGTCTTTAGGAGAACTCTGCCTCCGAGCTACACTACTCCCCATTCGTTCTAGAAGGAGTAAATGAGCCCTTGATATACAAGGAACTGTTATTGGTCCCAGAAAGAGGTCGGAACAAGCGACTCAAAAGAGACAATCGGGGTTGGGAGGGATACTGGGATCAGTGGTGGTGGAGAATGGGCACTGGTGGAGGGATGGGAACTCGATCATTGTATAACTGAAACCCAAGCACAAAAACTTGTAAGTCTACAACTGTACCTTATGGTGTTTCACTAATAAAACTTTTTTTAAAAATAAAAAAAAATAATAAACTAAAAAAAAAAAGACAATCATGTTAATCTCCAGCAACCTCATCCAGTGGGCGGGCTCCCTGCAGAGCGCGTTACCTGCCCTCCAGGGTTTCGCACCCCCTCCCCGCCCCCCGACGCCATTCCCATTTTACAGATAAAGGAAAGTGAGACTCGGGAAGGGTCCCCGCCTGCCCGGGTTCACACAGTGGAGGTCGATCCGGAATCTGGGGACTCACCTTCACAGCCCGACGAAGCCCTCCGTAGGGCGCGGAGCGGCTGCAGTTGCCCCCCTCGGGGAGGAGGAGTCCGCAGAGTTGCCGCACGCTCAGCGGCGCCCCCGCCTGCCCGTCGTACTGCACCGCGCCGCCCACCAGCACCTGCAGCGCCTCCAGCAGCTCCGCCTGGTCCTCGGCGCGACCCAGGTCCCCGCAGGCGCCCAGCTCGGTCCGCAGCGCCGCCAGAGCCGCCCCGCCCGCGCGCAGCCGCCGCTCCACCTCCTCGAAGGCAGCCGACACGGCCGTGCGACACTGCAGGGAGGGAGCGAGAGGTGGCGCTCGCCAAGCCTCGGGGCTGGGCTTTTGGGCCCACCAATCCCAAGCATCCGCTTTCTGGGTGGACGAAGCCAACTCTTACCCGGTACCGTCGAACCCGCCTCGGCTCTCGGCCCCGCCCCTCTGGACACGGGCCCCGCCTTCCCCGCTTCAAGGCCACGCCCCTTACAACCTTTTTGGAGCTCTTTTCTCTTCAAGGCCCCCATTGGAGCTCCACCCTTCTGAAGGCCCCGCCCATCGATGACGCCCCGCCCCCGTTGGAACTCTTCCCTTCTCAAGGCCGGGTCCATCCGTGACGCCCCGCCCCCGTTGGAGCGTCTTCCTTCTCAAGGCTCATCGACCCCGACGATGCTCCTCCCCTTACAGAGCCCCACCCATCTATGACTCGCCCCGCCCTATTGAAGCTGCTTCCATCTCAAGATCCCGCTTCTGGCTCGGTCCGCCCCATTGAAGCTCCGCCCTTCTCAAGGCTCCGCCCGTGACTCGCCACGCCCATTGGCACTCCTTTCTCTAGGCCCCGCCCATGACTCGCTCCGCCCTAGTGGAACGCCTCCCTTCTCAAAGCCCCGCCTATGACTCGCCACGCCCCATTGGAACTCCTCCTTTCTCTAGGCCCCGCCCATAACTCGCTCCGCCCATTGGAACTCCTCCCTTCTCAAGGCCCCGCCTACTACTACTCGCCCCGCCCCCATTGAAGCACCGCCCATCTCAAGCCCCGCCTATAGCTCGCCCCGCCCCATTGGAACTCCTCCCTACTCAGGGCCCCGCCCCATTGAAGCTCCTCCCTCCAAGACCCCGCCTCCCATTGAAGCTCCTCCCTCTCGAGACCCCACCCCGGCCCTTCCCAGGCCCGCCCTTGTTGAGGATCGACCTCTTCATGACTCCTCATTCCACCGTCTTCAAATCCGCCCTCTTTCCAAGGTCCTGATCTTAAGATCCCTCGACGTTGCAGGCTTCACCCTCTTTTCCCGGGTCCCCAGGGAACCTCTTCGCGAGCCTCTGCCTACTGGTGCCGGACTAGAGTCCACTTCCTACCTCGGGGGATCCGCCTATCTCGGTGTTCGCCAGGCTCCGGGACACCACCTGGAGTTGGGTCGTGGGCACAGGTCTCAGGGGCCTCCATGCTTCCCTCCTCCCCCTCTTCCCCGGGCCCCGCCGCCGTCATCGCTGCTGCCCTTACGTCGTTGTACTCGGAGAAATCCAGCACCGCCCGCACCGGGGCGGAAGAGGCAATCGAGGCGAAGACGAGGTTGGGGAACTGCAGGGGGAGATGCCGTCAGCCTGGGGGCGGCGCTGGGCCCGGGTACCCCCTAACCCCTCGCCTCTGTGTCACTCGTGGGATCTTAGACTCGCCCCGACCGTCTGTGCACCGGGATGTTGTGAGGACCGCCCTGGGGGGCCGGGGAATGGGGTGCGGGAGCCCGTCCCGCTGTCTGAGAGGCGCCCCCCGAGCCCGATCTCCTGCCCCTGCACCTTCAGCCGGGCCCAGGCCGCCAGGGAGCCGGCGTAGGAGCCGCCGAAGCAGATCCAGGGGCTGGAGGCCGAAACGTTGAGGAGGCGAGTGAGAGCGAGGCGGGCGGAGGCCACGTCTGCCAACCTGGGGGCGGAGGGACGGTGGGTCATCCCTGGAATCCTGCAGGCGACCCCACCATCCAGGCGCGCAGCAGACAGGCACGGGCACGGTTTGACCCCCAAGCCAGCGCTCTTTCCTCACGAGGACCCCCGCATCGACGCCGAAGGGACCCCCTCGGCGCCTGGATCTCCCCAAACCTTCCCTTCTGAGCTAGGTGGGGGAGGGAAACCAAGGCAGTTTCAGTGGGAACTTCACAAGCAGATGGCAGGGAGTGGGGGAAGGAGGCGCAAAGAGCAGCCGAGGAAGAGGAGGGGCCCCAGGCTGGGCGGACTGAAGTTCCTGGGGGAAGAGGAGATACATCAGAGAAAGAGTGTTGGGTTGTTTCCTCCTTCCCTGTTTCCTTCCCACCCCAAGATTTGCACTGTGTGCTAGCCCTGTGTGCAGAACCTCAGGAGCACTGGAGCCCGCTGAGAGTGAGAGTGTGAGACAGTGGAATGGGGGACCAGAGCCCATCAGACCCCATGACCACAGTGAAGATCAGACAGGTCAGAGATTGGGGGAGGGGGAGAGAGAGACAGAGACAGAGACAGAGAGCGAGGAGAGATCCAGAGACCCAGAAATGACCTAAAATATCACAAGGGGAGGAATCACAGGATCGCAGAGGGGCACTGTGGGCTGGGGGGGAGGCGAGGCGACGAGGCGGAGATGCTGGGGTGACACAGGTGACCCGCAGACAGGTCCCACCCTCACTCACGCATGGCGACTGGACAAGAATCGGAGCTGGGCCATTTCCAGGCCCCCAGCGGGTACGCTCAGGCCGTAAAACCTGTGTTCCAGGCCGATCACCAGGGCCCCCCAGGCTGGGGCCAGGGCTGCAGGATGCCCTGCGGAGAGCACAGGACGCGAGCGAGCAAGTGAGCCCGGGAGCCCGATTCCCGGTACCCAGACAGGCAGCTCCCCTGGCTGGTACCACCGGCGTCCTGGGGCTCTTTCTCCCCTCCCCCAACCCGCTCTCACCTCTCATCACTGATCCAGGCCCGAGGCTGCTCTCGCCCCCCAGATGCAGGAACACGGGGCCCCCCGGGCTGCTCCAGTGTTGGTTATTCACCCAGTAGCGCTGAGAGGGGATGGGAGGAAGATATGGATTTGAGGACCTCTTGATCTTTATTCTCTGCTGGTTCCAGTCTCTACCCTCTGCGTTGTTCTTTGCATCCTTCATAGTATGTGGGATTCACACTCTAGTGAAATTCATTCTAATTCATAGTATGTGGAATATAGTATATGCCTGGGGTTATTCCTCTATTTCTCTCCTCTTTGTCCCTCCTAGCTAGGCTTAGGATTTACTAAAGCAGATCTTTTTTTTTTTAATGGTCTTTCCTCTAGTTTTCAGGATGAAGGAGGGTGGCTAGCATGCCATAAATAGAAAGAAGATTTGTCCAATAAGAAACAAAGACAGATGATTTTAGGAGTAGCTGAAATGCCCTTGGAGACTGTGGACTGAGATAATGTGAAAAATGGTAGAGTTGTTCACTTCTTTTTTTTTTTCTTTTTTTCTTCTTTTTTGGGTCACATCCAGCGTTGCACAGGAGTTACTCCTGGTTCATGCACTCAGGAATTACTCCTGGCGGTGCTCAGGGGACCATATGGGATGCTGGGAATCGAACCTATGTCAGCTGCGTGCAAGGCAAACGCCCTACCTGCTGTGCTATTGCTCCAGCCCCTGTTCACTTCTTAATAGCTATTTTCTTCTTTTTTCTTTCCCTCTTATTGAGGCACTGTGATTTACAATCCTGTTCATGGTGGGTTCATGCATCTCTTATTTCTCCACCACAGCCACCACCAGAATCCCTCCCACAACCCGCCCCCCAGGCAAGCTCAGTTTTGTAGGCAAACTCTCTAGCTTAGATGTCTCTGGCCCTTTATTCTGATTGTGTTTCTTTATATCTCACATATGGGGAAGATTTTTGTTTTGTTTTGTTTTCCATGGAGGAGGTGACGGCTACACATATCACAATCACAATCACAACCATCCTGTTATTCATCGATTGCCTTGAGCAGGCCCCAGTAACGTCTCCTTAGTCCTAGCCCTGAGATTTTTTGAAAAGTGCCATATTCAAGGCTCTTTCAGGGTTAGGAGAATGAGACCCATCACTGTTACTGGTATTTGGCATATTGGGTACGCCACGGGGAGTTTGCCAGACTCTGCCGTGTGGGCAGGTTACATTCGGTAACCTGCCAGGTTGTCCAAAGTAGGAATGAGTTGATAAGATGTTTATAGTTTAAAGCTATAAATTGCTGAACTTTACAGAATTGTAAATGATGTTCAAAAACTCTGTTTTACAGATATGTAAATTAAAATGAATGATATAAATAATTCTATGTGGATACTTTTAAAAAAATATTTACTGGAAACAGATCGATTCTACAAGAACACAGTTTAGCAATAGTGAGGAGAGGAGAATTAAGAACAACGAGAGGAAAATCCGAATGGCTCATGCACCTATACAGGTGAACTTTATCCCCCAAAGGTCTCATTAGATTGTCTCAAGTGAGTCATACTAAAGGTGGATCTGAAGGACACTGGAAAGAGGAGAGATGGAGAGAGTGACAGAGTGAAGAAAAAGACCAGAGGACAGAGACTAGGGAACCAAAAAAAAAAAAAAACGAATATAGGAAAAATAAAGAAGACGAGGGGACGGAGAAGTATGATGAAGACACACTCAAGGGACACTCACCAGGGACATAGGATGAGTGAGGGACAGAGACAGGGACTGAATTGTGGTAAGAGGAGCAAACGCGACCTGAGGGCCAGGAAAGGGCGGCAAGGGGCAGGGTAACCCGGGCCCTCACCTGCAGGAAGGACCGGCCATCAGACGCGTTGAACGGGTCCAGGGGCTGCTCCAACCATCCCTCTTTGGGGAGCGCCCCAGGCCCAGGGCCCAGGCCCAGGCCCACGGCAGAGGTGACCTGGAACTGCTGAATGTGCTCTCCCAGGCGCCTTAGAAGGAAGGCTGGGGGACACCGCGGGGGGGGGGGGGGGGGGGGGCAGAAGTCAGGCCAGGTCCCCTTGGGGACCCTGCCAACCCCCCAGCCTCTCCTACCTGGAGCGGAGGAAGCCCAGGTGGACACCCAGAGGAGAAGGCCCAGCCACAATGCAGGCCCTGACGCCATGCTGTCCTGTGAGCTGTGTCACGGGGCCCTGTCCCCAGCTCACTGAGGACCTTTATCACAGCCCCAGGACCATGCACCGCATAGCAGCAGATGCAGGTCCATACACCGCATACCCGCATGCAGCCTTCCTGGAGCTCGGGTTTCTTTCCAGACGCCGCCACTCCTGTCAAGCGTCTGTGGGGGTCACTAACGCGGGGCAGAGACACCTGAGAAGCCTGCTGGAGTGGCACCTCAACAGCCACTTATTTTTCTTTCTGCCCCTGAACTGCTTCTTTCTTGGCACTGTGCTCTCTCTCCCTCCCGTAGGCGCTCGGTATCACGCTTCGGGCCTCAGTTTCCCTCTTTCAACCTCACACTCTCACGTTCTGTGCCGTATCTCCCTGTCCCCTTTCTGTGCTGGGGTTTCTTGCTGTCCTTTCTCTCCGCCTGTTGGTTCGTGTTCAAGTCCTCTTCGTTGCTCTGCTCCGCAGTCCTCCCCCTCCTTTTCAACCAACTCCTCCCTACTTGGGTTTCTCTGCTTCTCCAGCCCATCCGGCTTCCTAAGCTCTCCCTCTTCCTGTCCCCCGCAGACTCTCTTGCTCACCACCGGCCATGGTTGTCCTTACTCCGCAGCCTGGATGACTGTTCCCTTCACCTCAATCTGGCCTCCAGTCAGGCGTTATCTGTTCTGAAGGGGCTTCAGGATGACCACCCAGTAACCCTTTCCTGGTCCTTTCCTGATTTATTCTTTACTCTTCAGAGCACTTTAGCAATGCAAACTTGATGTGGTTACAATAGTCCATTAGCAGTTGCCCAACGAGAATGGAGGTATGGGCGGTCATCTCTCTCTGTGACTCAATGCGCTTTCCCACCAACGACAAAGAGAAGGAACAGGACGCACAGATCCCAAATCCAGCTCTTCCCACATCCAAAAGAACAAAAGCAACCGGTGTTGGCGCGGATGTGGTGAGAAAGGGACCCTCCTTCACTGCTGGTGGGAATGCCGACTGGTTCAGCCCTTTTGGATAACAGTATGGACGATTCTCAAAAAATTAGAAATTGAGCTCCCATTTGACCCAGCAATACCACTCCTGGGAATATATCCCAGAGAGGCAAAAAAGTATAGTCGAAGTGACATCTGCACTTGTTTGTTCATTGCAGCACTGTTTAGAATAGCCGGAATCTAGAAAAAACCCGAGTGCCTGAGAACAGATGACTGGTTAAAGAAACTTTGGTACATTTACACTGGAGTACCCCATTACAATGGAGTACTATGTAGCTGTTAGAAAAGATGAAGTCATGAAATTTACATACAAGTGGTACTACTTGGAAAGTATCATGCTAAGCGAAATGAGTTAGAAAGAGAGGGATAGACATAGAAAGATTGCATTCATCTGGGGAACATAAAGTAACAAAATAGGAGACTAACACCCAAGAGTGGCCGGGATTAGTACCAGGAGGTTTGCTCCATGGCTTGGAGGCCAGCCGCACATGCTAGGGGAAAAGGCAGCTCAGATAGAGAAGGGAGCACCAAATAAAGGGTGTTGGGAGGATCCTCCCAGGATGGGAGAAGCGTGCTGAAAGTAGACTATACACCAAACACGGTTGCCACTCAATGCCTCTTTTGCAAACCACAACACCCAATAAGAGAGAGAGAACAAAAGGAAATGCCCTGCCCCAGAGGCAGGGTGGGATGGGGGGGAAGAGGGGTGGGAGGGATACTGGGATCCGTGGTGGTGGGAAATGGGCACTGGTAGAGGGATGGGTATTTGATCATTGTATAACTGAAACCCAAGCACAAAAATCTGTAAGTCTACAACTGTACCTCATGGTGTTTCACTAATAGAAATTTTTTAAAAAATCCAGCTCTTCCTCACCTCTCGCCCTCCATCTTCTAAGCCACCATCCTCTTCCTCCCTCACTGTGGAATATCACAGAAACCTCTCCCTACATCTGCCATGTGATCCAGTCTCCGTTCAGTCTCCACCCCATAAGTTCACTCATTTCACTCCTTGTTTTAAAACTTTCTTACTTTGTGCAAAGTAAAAAATCTAAAGTTTCAGTCTAACGAAAATCGAAAGTTTTGGTCAAGTGAAAAAATCGAAAGAAATGATCTTCGAAGTTCCCCATGTTCGATTCCTCTTTGAGGTCATGGTTTGATTTCCTACCTCTCCCCAGGACTCACTGCTACACACACACACACTGGCTTCCTTTAGACTCCATCGTGGGACCATCCATTCCTTCACATTCCAAAATAATAAGTATTGACCACACAGATCGTTCAGTCTTCACTCTCACAGGGGTGCTTCTCCTCCAAACACTTGCAAATCTTGTTTTCTCATACTATAGTTTCCTTTCTCACCTTACCAGGTGGATGTTATTGTACCACGATCATAAAATAACACAATTTCTGTCCCTGCCCTCTGCCGTCACAGCTGGATAGAGATTATTTGTCAGTACAGTTCTTACCAAAAGTTCCCAGGATCAAAGTTTACGAGAGGCAGTTTTTTTTTTTCTGTTGTGTTTACTGCTTCATCTGTAATATCTAAACTATTTGAAAGTGAGTTTGGGGACCTGAGTGATAGTACAGGAGGTAGGGGACTTGCCAGGCATTTTCTCAAATCGGACCAAGGTTCATCAGTTCCAAATTCCAACCCAGGGACAGGTGGAAAGGACAGGGTCTGAAAAAGGAAGCTTCTCCTAAATGTTTATTATAAGTGTTTTCTATAGTTGGGTTTGAGGACTTAATTTTTCACTGAAGATGAGAAGTTCTTTTTTCTGTCACACGTAGTTTTGGTTTTATCTTTTTCCTTTCCGCCAGTGCAGAAAGAGAGATTTAAAAAAAAAATGGTGAAGCTTAAAGAAGCAATGTTAGTTGTTTGTAAAGTTAAATAAATAAATTTTAAAAAAGATACCTTTGAAGAGGAGAAAGAATAAAATTTATGTTTTTTTGTTTTTGTTTTGGATACAGAAACGTCCACAAACTTCACTCTCATTAGGTAAAACCTACTTCTCAAGTGGGGCCGGTTAGCTCAGTTGGTTAGAGCGTGGTGCTAATAACGCCAAGGTCGCGGGTTCGATCCCCGTACGGGCCACTCCTTTTTATGGTCCTTTCATTTATAACTATCAAAAAAACAGAAAAAGATCTTTTAAACCATTTCTAAACCCATTTTTAACACCACTCATGAAAAATATTAAAATCATTATCTCTTATTGATAAACTAAGCAAAATTAAGCATTATGCACATCTTCCCTTTCAATTTAAAAAAAATTAGCAGTCAACATCCAGAAGAATTTCTTTTTCTTTTTTTTTAATGAATCACCATGAGATACAGTTACAGACTTACAAACTTTCGTACTTATATTTCAGTCATATAGTGATGGAGTACCCATCCCTCCACCAGTGCCCATTCTCCACCACCAATGTTCCCAGTATCCCTCCCACCATCCCCCCCAGCCCCACCCACCCCCTTGCCTCTGTGGCAGGTGCATTCCCTTTTACACTGTCTCTCCTTTAGGACGTTGTGGTTTGCAATGCAGGTATTAAGTGGCCATCATGTTCCGTCTTTAGTCTACTTTCAGCACACATCTCCCATCCCAAGTGGGCCCTCCAAACATCCTTTACTTAGTGGTCCCTTCTCTATCTCAGCTGCCTTTTTCCCCAGCATGTGAGGCCGGCTTCCAAGCTGTGGAGCAATCCTCCTGGACCTTATCTTTACTATCCTTGAGTGTTAGTTTTCCATTCTGTTACTGTATATTCCGCAAATGAGTGCAGTCCTTCTATGTCTGTCCCTCTCTTTCTGACTCATTTCTCTTAGCATGATACTCTCCATGTTGATCCACTAATATGCAAATTTCATTACTTCATCTTTTCTAACAGTTGCATAGTATTCCATTGTGTAGATGTACCAAAGTTTCTTTAACCAGTCATCTGTTCTCGGGCACTCGGGTTTTTTCCAGATCCTGGCTATTGTAAACAGTGCTGCAGTGAACATACATGTGCAGGTGTCATTTCTACTGTACCTTTTTGCATCTCCGGGATATATTCCCAGAAGTGGTATTGCTGGGTCAAATGGGAGCTCAATAAAGAACTTTTTCCCACAAGGGTAGACTGCCTTCTTGTGGATCTTCCTGCTGAGAAAGTTCTGAACCCAAGGTAGGCATTCAGTAGATGTTGGTGAAGTCCCTATTTGCTGTCTTGTCATCAGAGTGTTTACAAATGTTGAGATTTTGTTTGCCAAACCTGATGATGGCTTCCATAGAAAGACCCTGAAGTCAAAACAATATGGTTTAAAAACAGAAGAGTTTCAGATATGAAAAGTAATAACAAATATAATTCTAGTTTACCCTCAACCGCCATCTCCAAACCCCCCACCACCCCCTCCCGCCTCCCACCTCCCCAGTAACTCTACATGGTCCAGAGGTAGTTTCTTAAAGCATGTCTAAAATGAAATTCCCTGCTCCTCCCTAAGGATTCCGCTACACGCAGTCTTCCTCATTATAGTTAGTGTCTCCATCCGTTTTAGATTTTCAGCAACAAGAGAAAACACGAACACCCTCGGTCATCTTGATTCTGATTTCACTCACTCCCCCCCCCCCCCCCCACCACCACCATTTTCTCAAGGATCCCTCGGATGTGTCCTTAAACTATATGTGGAATGTGCCTATTTTTGCTCCTTTGACTGCGACCGTCCAGTTCGTGAGTTCATGTTTGAAGTGATTTCTTCTAGGCATCATGGTGAAAGAAACATAAATTTCTTTGCTTCCATCTCTCTTTCCTCCCAAAAATGTTCCTTATAGATCTGGCACAGGATCCCTTTTTAAAAACAAAAGATTTTCTTTTCTTTTTTTTAAGCATCCTTTTAAAAAGGAAGTAATATAAAGTCTGAAAGGCATGAATGGAAGCATTCAGAAGAGTATCTGAGTACAAGAATTCCAGTTCACATCCGGCCCGCCCAGCCCATGCAGAGCCCACGTGCAGGGAAGGGAAATTCCAAGGCTCAGTTTTGCACTTGTGACAAAATTCTTCTAGTTTAAACTGCTTAGATGTAGAGAGGGGTGAAAACGACAGTTTTTGTTGTTTTGGGGCCACACCGGGTGTCCTGGCTCCCCACGTAGGCACTCCTGGCAATGTTCGGGGGCGAAATAAAATTATCCCAGCTGTTTCCGCCCGGTTTCGAACCGGGGACCTTTCGCGTGTTAGGCGAACGTGATAACCACTACACTACGGAAACCCTTGCTTGGTGTCCTCGGTGCCTTTCTGGATGGGTAAAATCCACGGCTCAGTGGAGCTTTAATCATTGGAATGTATTTGAATTTTGTTTGTGTACCCTAACCGCTTTGTCCTAAATTGCTCTTCTTGACCAAAAGGCAGAAGTGATCTGCCTCCTTTTGCGTTCTAAGTCTGGGTTCCTGGGAAGGGATTCAATTACAAAAAAAATTGCTCGCCTCCAAGTTGCAGTGAGAAACGGATTCCGTTTAGTGGCAGCTAAAAGAGGCAATTGTCAAGAGTCACAGTAGACTAATATAAGGCCATGCACACACCCCTCTTTGACAGCTCCTTCTCGCATCCCCGACTTAACTCCTCACAGTTCACCTCTCACCCGACGACTGA